GATCGATGTTTCTCTCTCATCGATGTTTCTAACTCTCTATCCCTCTTCTTCTCCCTTCCTCTCTGTAAAAAATCAATAAAATATATTTAAAAAAAGAAAATACCTTGCAAGAATGAGGAAGCCCCTCAATACTGTGAACCTTCATGTTTCCCATGTTATACTATTGACTGAAAAATGCAAGGTGCAGCCCTGCCTAGGTAGCTCAGTTGGGTAGAGCATGGGCCAAATGTACCAAGGTTGCAGGTCCGATTCTAGATCAGAGCACATATAAGAATCAACCAATGAATGCATAAATAAGTAAAACAACAATCCGATGTTTCTCTCTCTCTCTCTCTCTCTCTCTCTCTTGCTGCTTTCCTCTCTCACTGCTTTTCTCTCTTTAAAATCAATCAATAAAAATACATTTTAGCCGAGACCCGTTTGGCTTAGTGGATAGAGCGTCGGCCTGGGGACTGAAGGGTCCCAGGTTCGATTCCGGTCAAGGGCATGTACCTGGGTTGCGGGCACATCCCCGGTGGGAGGCGGGCAGGAGGCAGCTGGTCGATGTTTCTCTCTCATCGATGTTTCCGACTATCTCTCTCCCTTCCTCTCTGTGAAAAATCAATAAAATATATAAAAGAAAATACATTTTAAAAATAATTTAAAAGAAAAATGCAAGCTGCCATTAAGTGGGGTAACACCTACTTTCTGCACAAAAGCACTGTTTAGGAATATATTTAAATGTAGCTGTTTGTCTATGCATAGATTATATCTTAAAAGTCACATAAAAAATTACCAATAGTGGTTACTCCTAGGAACAAAAATGGTGACTAAGAAATCAGGGACAGGAACACAACTTTTCACCATGCACATTCCCTTTTAAACCTTTTGAATTTTGAACCACATGCAAATGCTACCTTTTTCAAAAGGTAAATTTAAATTTAAGAATATATAATGGGAATTGAACCAGATGCAATGGTTAGGTGATTCAAGGTGAAACGTTTCAGAGATAGGATGCAGCAGAAGAGAAAAGTAAAAAGTATTACAGAGTTTCTGTCAGACTCCAGAATTCTATGTAGTGCTGCAAAGTCTGAAGTAAACATTCCTCAAGGCCATCAAATTTCTTTCTGTTTAATTCTCTGCTCATTATACAGTTCTCGATTTTTTTTACGAGCCTCGATTTAGAAAAGGGAATGTCCCAAGAGCGGACACAAGTATTCAGGTCATCAGAGAGGTAGATCCTTTCATGGCAAATTAGATAGTGTCTAATATAAACCAGTCTCTGAAGAGGTCGAGAAGGAGTTATTTCAGGGACACTGATAAAACATGGAACTGCAGAGCTAAAGGCTACACCGTGGGCCAGTCGGACCCCACCAAGGGTCTATGCAAAAACAGGACCCAGCCTTAACTGGGTAGAGTTACCATTGGCATACCTGGAATTCTCAAGGCCATCAGATTTCTTTTTGTTTAATTCTCTGCTCATTATACAGTTCTCGATTTTTTTACGAGCCTCGATATTGAGAAAGGAATGTCCCAAGAGCGGACACAAGTATTCAGGTCATCAGAGAGGTAGATCCTTTCATGGCAAATAAGATAGTGTCTAATATAAACCAGTCTCTGAAGAGGTCGAGAAGGAGTTATTTCAGGGACACTGATAAAACATGGAACTGCAGAGCTAAAGGCTACACCGTGGGCCAGTCGGACCCCACCAAGGGTCTATGCAAAAACAGGACCCAGCCTTAACTGGGTAGAGTTACCATTGGCATACCTGGAATTTTCAGTATGTTTGTCCTCTGTTCTACCACTACTGCTTAGATCAGTCCAAAAAACTTACCCTAAAGGTCACAGTAACTTGAAGACTTGGGATGGTGAGGAAACCACATCTTTGGGCCTACAGCGAGTCACAGTATTTTTTTTTTAAGGCAGTGCCAAATCAGCTTCCTTTCCCACACAGGAATCACTGTGCCTTAGAGGTACCAGAAACTGGCGAGTCTTGTGCTCAAGAGATTTTAAAAAATCCAGGACTAACAAAACGTGCACTATATAAGAGAACACATTCTTGTTTTTCTACTCTAATGTTTAAATTATGTATCTAAAGATAATAAAATTCTTAAATAAGTATAAGGTTTTTTAAAAAGGAGACTCATTGCCAAAGGGTTATTTCTGGACACTGCAAAAATACCTGCTCACAGGTCTGCAGTCCAGGGCTACATCATCTAATTTAATATGAATGGATCAGAAATCACTCACTGATTTTTAATTGGATCAAACCATGAATCTTTGAGGACCCATTAGCTCTCAATTTTCTAAGGTAAGAAAGAACATGAGGCACAGAGATAAGCTCACATCTAAGTCTCATTTTAGCCAACAGTTTTTAAATTCCTCCTCCCACTAAATATACCACAGCTAACAGGCAACGTAACCTATTGATTGCAAATGCCTCTTCTTTCCACCATCTGACAGTTGTTCACATGATCATTAGACAACCAAAATCAGGAAAAAGGAAGAGGAAAATGAGTGAGAGGGGCTGAAATAGTGGAGGGTTTAGATAATTCATAAACTGGGTAAAGTGAGGCCTCCACAAATGTCTTATTTAACTGAACTGACAGATGACTGACATCTTGTCATCTCAATTTTAATACAATGGCCAAGTCACTGAAGCCACTAAGCCAAATTGTTAAACTAATTTGTGAAAAGAAATTGTTTCAGGAACCTGGATTCTACCATCAACAGTAGTTAATAAGGTTTACAAGCCATCATTTACTAGTTCTCATTAAGAATTAACTCATGTTTCATTACCTGATCCCCAGTTAATGCTACTGATAAAGAGCAATGGAAAATTTGGAGAAGTGATCAATCAACCTTTCTTCCATATGCTCTATTGGAATATGAGTAAGAATCGAGTGGTATGATGGGGAAATGGGGAGTCAATAGGAAAAAAAGGGGACATCTGTAATACTTCAACAAAAAAAGATAAATTTTTTAAAACTTCAATAAATAACTGTTTATAAAAATTCCAAGCCGAAACCGGTTTGGCTCTGTGGATAGAGCGTCGGCCTGCGAACTGAAGGGTCCCGGGTTCGATTCCGGTCAAGGGCATGTACCTGGGTTGCGGGCACATCCAAAACTTCAATAAATAACTGTTTATAAAAATTCCTTTAAAAAAAGAGTAGTATGACACATGAGGAGTGGGGGTGGTATTAGTCATCAAAATGGCATCTGACTCCCCAAATGTAGCAGGCTCACTCCAGTGGGTTGCTTCACTGTGACTCAAGATCTGTCAACCAAGGACACAAGGGAATTTGAGTAAAATCAAGAGATACACTCCTAAATTTTAAACAGAATCTTCTAATAGATTTAGGACAAAATCTAGCCAAGAGTCAACTTGAAGAAATTAACCTACTCAACATAAACTGATTCTAAAATACTTTTGAAAATGAATTCTTGCTAATGCAAAAATTTAGAAAAGGAGTCTGGGGACCTGCTTTCCTAATGACACATTTATCTATTGGTAGAGGGCACTAAAATAGATTACTAGGTGTCTAGCAGTATCAATGTATCATCTCCCTGTTCTCCTCACATAACCTTATTTTTCTAAAATAAAAGGTAATAAACCCGGCTGGCGTGGTTCAGTGGTTGAGCATCGACTTATGAACCAGGAGGTCACGGTTGGATTCCTGGTCAGGGCACATGCTTGGGCTGATCCCCAGCGGGGAGCATGCAGGAGGCAGCTAATCACTGTTTCTCTCTCATCATTGATGTTTCTATCTCTCTCTCCCTCTCTCTTTCTCTCTGAAATCAATTAAAACATATTTTAAAAATAAAACAAAAGGTAATGAGTGAAAGCATCAATTATGCATACACTTCCCTTGTCAGTATTGATAAATGCAAATGCATTTGAATATTTCTTGTATGCTATATGCCCAAAATGTTACATGGCAAGTCCACTGCACGATGAACAGAAGTAAATTAACAATAGTTCCCAAAATATAACTATCTTTCTCCCCAACCAAACAAAAAAAATTTTCCCAACTCTTCTAATTATATTCCAAATTCAGAAAGATAAAAAGGAAACAAAATATTTATAGACACTTGTATCTGTAAATTTCAAGTGCAAACATTTCACTAATAACCATGCTTTCCTATCACACTGATTTTTAATTGGATCAAACCACGAATCTTTGAGGACACAGAAAACAAAGACTAAATGACTGTGCCAGTTTATAATGACCATATTTCACCTTGAGAAGGGTAATATCACCATGGAAGCAACAAATTCAATGCATCCCTTCCTTCCTTCTCTCCAGCGATTATACGGATCCTACACTGAGGCCACAATCCGCTAGCTTCTGCCACCACATACACATTAGGCCTCAAACGCACTCCGGGGCCAGGCTAGGCTGTCTAGAAACCCGCACTGTGTCACTGCGTAAAGCAGTTTCCCACTGCACATATCCAGGAAGAAAGCCACCTCAGCACGGTCAGATCCCAGCAAGTCGGTACCATGACAGAAGGCACTGCTCACCAAATGGCCGGCAGCAACAATCATCACCTTTAAAAAACCACCTAAGCACTTTTCCTGCCCATCACCACCTCACTTTTCTCCTCTCCCTCCCTCCCTCCGCCTCTCCTCGCGGTCACAGTCACACAAACTGCAGTTCATCCCCAGCTTTGCAAGTGGAAGGCTTTAAGCTCTGGGCTGCCTCTGGAATGACAGCCCAGAACTCATTCAAAGCCCTGAAATACAGACACCCTCACCCGCACACACCACGCCACTCCCCCACCTCCATCATCACCCCCCTGCCCCCCCGCAACACACACGCACACTCGCCCTCGCAACCTCTCAGCGCTGCAGAACCCCTAGCAGGCTCAGCAGCAAGAGGAGCACGAGGTTACCGTTCAGGATGACTGGGGCGGCCGAAGCTCCAGGAACCCCTCCCCACACAACCACCTCCCAGGCGCGGCGCGGACGCTGGAGGACCTCCGCCCGCCGGGGTGGGGGTCGCGGGGAGACACGCTACCTTTAGACTGGCAGTCCGCACAAAACTTGTTATCCTCCTCCAGCAGCAGGTTGGCCAGGACCGCCTGGTACCGATCCACGTCCTTCACTGACTTGCCCGTCATGGCCAGGGTGCCGGCGGGGGCAGAGGGCGATGCGCCCTCTTCACCCCCAGAAACCTTTGCCTCGGTCCGGAGGTGAGGACTCCCCGTCCCCCGCCCAGGGGCACTTCCTGAGCGGGGCAGGACTCTCTCTGCCCCGCGC